TTCTCTTCTTGTAAGGGCAGTAATCCCATTCATAAGGACTCTGCTCTCGTGACCTATTATTCCCTTCCAAAGGCCTTACCTCTAACACCATTGCACTGGGGGTCAGGGTTTCAACACACGCACTGTGGGGGACACAATCACTCAGCCCGAAACAGTGTCCCTTAACTGTCCTTGCTATTACCCCGACCAAGTTTCTTTCCGGTCAGTAACTGTCCCACCCTCGAATCTGCAGCCTTCAGCATGTACCCTCCCTTCTTCCGCCCTACGGTTACTACCTCTGCATCCTGCTCCACTCCCTTCCCCATTTTGGATGTACCTGGCGGGCCTTCCTTTCCTCTGGAGCAGCCAGCCTCTCTCCTTACTCAGGACCAGCGCTTCCCTGTGCCATTTGATCAGATCTAGGCTCTGGTTCGTTCTGCTGTACATACAGCAAAACTGACCAAACGCCTGTGCTGGGCTAGATGCTGAGCAGACAAAAGGGCACGAGGAGGCCTGTCCTCTGTCCTCTCGGAGCCCACAGCGCAGAGCACTCAGATCCTGCTCTTTGCCATTTTCAACCCCGGCTGCTTATGCTCCTGCCTCTTCCTATCACCTGGGTCTTTCCCATTGGCCCGGCTGCTCCCTCTTATTACTGCCTGCTCTCTCCTCCCTTTCCTGTCAATCCTCAGGTAGCGCCACCCCATCTGTCCCCTGGGGCGAGGATTAATTCTGGCCCTGTCCACACTGGTAGCCTGGGTCTTTCTAGTCTACTTTCTTTGTATCCCCCAGAAAGAGCAACCTAAAATGCAGAGTGGCCCATGTCACTGCTTGACAGCCAGAGGCCCATGGGTACAGAACAGTCCCCAGGGCTGCCTGGGTGCCTGTCACTTTCCACCTCACTGTGCCTTACGCTATGGCAGACCTGTGGTTAGTTCCACTGGGCCTCATGCCTCAGGTCTTGATGGCCACCTGGTCCTCACCTGGCCATCTCCTCTCTACCTACGGGGCAGACTGTGTCCTGGGGAAGGGGTGGCTATATTCCGCAGGAGGCGAGGACTGCAGGCCGGTGTCCCTGCCCCACCCCTGGTCAGCTCCTGCCAGCATCTGACTGCACCTGCATGAGAGACTTCTGCCCAGCAGATCAGGTGAGCCCATCTGGAATCCTGGCCAATGGGAAGTGTGAGAGCTGAAAACTTGCTGCAAGCCACTAAGTTCTGGGGTGATGTGTTATGCAGCTCAGATATAACCATTAGGCGCTAAGACTGAGCTTGGGGGTTACTGCCACAGAGACTCCTCCCTGTCCCCGAACCTGGGTTCCATGTGCCAGCACATGCTTCTGTGCCACCTCCTGCCACTCTCAAGTCCTTACAGGGCTTGCCCATCTGCTCTCCCTCTGCCATGTCCCTCCCAACCAGACCATAAGGCTCCTGAAGGCAGCAGTCCATTTCCCTTTCCCTTTAGAACCTCACCCACTCTAGCCCATGGCAGGCATTTGACCAGACACCGGGGGCAGCGGGGGGCGGGGAGTGGTCACTGAGCACAGCACAGTCTTGACGTGCTTGACAGGTTCAAATACCTGCCGGGCCACCCAGGAGCTGGACTTGGGCCCTCGCACTCTCCAGATGTCATTTTCCTAGTACGATGAAACTGCAGTCCCTTCTTCTCCACTTGTGAGCACTGAATGATACCCCGAAAAGGCTTAGGGAGCAGAGCAGGACCCATGAATCAAAGCTGCTCGTCAAGTACATGAAATGTACTAGTGATAAATTTGCTAAATCGCAGCCAGGTGCTGCATGACAGCGTCTCGGTGAATGATGGACATCACACGGAACAGTGGGCCAAAAGGCTACCGTGCAGCCTAGGTGTGGTGGGCTGTCCTCTCGGGTATAAGTACTCCATGACGTTCATACAACTACGTGACGCATTTTTCTAAATATGTCCACCATGAAGTGACACATGGCTGTATGCTACTTCTTTCTAACTCTCCTCCCATCTCCATTTCCATGGCTGGTGCCCTAACTAAACTCTTTTCCACCCCGTGGCACTATTCTCCACCCCCCAACACACTCCTACGAAGTCCACATTCACTGTGCCCTTTCTGACCCTGGAAGGCTCCGTCGTTCCCAAGTGTCTCTGACACTTTCGCACAAGCACAGGTCAGTGCTCACACTATTACACAGCTGTGCAAGTGTACAGCCTTCTCCCTGCATCTGGAACCTCCTAAAGAGCAAACCACTCTTACTTCTTACGGGCACTAGATGCCTGAAAAATACTTACTGACTAAAGTTAGGAACTGATTAAAAGGTTCTAGGCCTGCCTGAAGCACAGTGGTTAAGGTGGATGACTCTCACACGGCCAACTGTGTGGTTTAAGTCCCAGACTCAGTGGCCTTAGAAACACGCTGGGTGTGTTTGTGTACGTGCACATGCACATGCACCCAACATCCCAAATAGTGGGAGAAATGGAGAAGAAGAGACTGTGGTGTGGCCTTTTTCTATGAAGGGGAACTCTCTCTCTGTCTCGTGGGGAGTGCACATGCCCTCTGGCAAGTTTATATTTTTTCCTGTAGAGAATTTTGCTATAGGGTGCATACACTCACTGAAGAGACAAAGAGATAGAAAGCAAGAAATCACCCCCCAGAGGTGATTGTGGCTGCACCACAATCCCTTCTCCTCCATTCTCCTTTCAGGATTTTGGGCACATGAGCACATGCGCCTGGCATGAGGTTTAAGCCACTGGGTCTGTGACTCAAACCATAGTCGACTATGTAGGAGTCCAGCAACGTAACCATTATGCCATCTGCTGGTCTCCTTCTGGCAAAATTATTTAAAAATACAAAAAATTAATAAATAAAAGGTTGTTTGGAAACTCATTACAGACATCACGGGAATAGCTTTTTATTGTTTTTTGTTTTTAAAGTAGAATTGGCACTTCTGTAACATTTTCCTAAGGCAACCTCATGAAAAGGGTTCCTCTCTCCCTCCCTCTCTTTCTTTCTAAATTTGCCAGAGGGTGCATTTGCTTGCTAGAGAGAGACAGAGAGGAGGAAATACCCCCAGTGCAGCAGGGTATGATCACGTGGCTATCCTCCTCCTTCACTTTACCATCCTATTGGGATTGAGGGCATACACACGAACCCAAGGCCAGGATTGGAACTCGTTAGCCCTGTGGGATCTGGGTCTCTTAACCACTAGGCTACCGGGCTGGCCATAGAGTTCCTCCTTCTATTTGAAAAATGGAGAACAAAGGGTACAGAAGACACAGCCCACAATCCCTCTTGTCACACCCCAGGGATCTGACTGCAGTTGCCCCAAACATGGTTCTCCTCTCACAGAGCTGGGATGTGGTACACACCCTCCCCAAGGAGGCTGGGCTCCTGCTGCCTAAGAGGCCCAACAGCTAAGCCCAAAGGGGCTTGGGGGGACCATGGGACAAGGCGCTGGCAGTGTACCAGAACCGCCCAGACTCACTTTGGTGTGGTACTCCATCTTCGTTCTCAGCAGTTTGAGGTAGATGCTGCAAAGCTGCCCGTACCCCTCACTCAGGTGGCCCTTTCAGGAAGAGGAAAGAGAGCAGAGCATCAGAACTGAGAACACTGGGCCGCGAGCCTGCAGTCATAACTTCTTTTGTAAGTTTTTTTTTTTAATTATTAAAGTAACAAATGACCATTGTTGAAAATTTGAAAAATATAAAAAGGTACCTATCCTAAAAATCATCCTTAATCTAACTACTAGATATAATCATGAGTAACATTGTGGATGTATAGTGTTCCCTTTATTTAATTCATTAATTTATTCATGCGTGGTGTATTTCTTTTTTTTTTTTTGAGAGGTTTTGTTCTTATTGGGTGTGTACGTTCGCCAGAAAGACAGAGAGAGACAGAGATAGAAAACGAGAAATCACCCCCCAGAGGGGATGGCCACACCACAATCCCTTCTCCTCCATTCTCCTCTCGGGATCTTGGGCACGCATGCACACGCGTCTGGCGTGAGTTTAAGCCACCGGGTCCGGGACTCGAACCGCAGTCGACTACATGGGAGTCCAGCGACATAGCCATTACGCTAAATGCTGGCCCCCATGTGTGGTGTATTTTTAAACAAGGTCTCATCATATCAAGATTCTCTGACCTCAGGATGGGTCAGGAATTGGACCCATGCCTCCCATGCGGTGTCAGCCTGCCAAGCAGCAGCACACAGCATACAATGTTCCCAATAACATTTTCTTTCCTCTAGCTTACTTTATGGTAAGAATATCATGTATAATACATATAACATACAAAATATATGTTTATCAGCTGTTTATGTTATCAGCAAGGCTTCAACAGTAGGCTGTTAGTAGTTAAGTCTGTGTGCAGTGGGAGATGGGTCAGTGTTCCTAACCTCTCAGATTATTCAAGGGTCAATTGTGGTTGAAAATTTTGTGGTTATAAACTATGTTTCCATGAACATTGTTACAGTACATACAATCTGGTCTAAAACATGAGAGCTTTCTTAGGATAAATTCTGGATGAGGTTTCTTTTTAAGAATTTTAAATTTCCACTCTTAGCAAGCACAGTTCAGCTATGGGATATTTCCTTTTTTCTTTCTATCAAAGAACAGGGGAGGAAAGACCTCAAATGGATTCCAATAGACTAAGCACATCTACAATATTATACACAGGATGGTGATTGGAAGTGGGGCCAGTCCTAGCAGGTGAAGCACAAACTTTCCCATGGGGCCTGCCCACGCAGCCAGGCCACAAGCCGGGTACCAGAGAAGATGCTAAATTAGCAGAGGAATGTCAGTAACCCCACATATCTATGAAAAGGGAGAGAAATGTGGGCACAAAGAACACTTAAACAGAATAGCTGTCCTGAATTCTGCATTTTCTTTTAAGTGCACTTATATCCTCCAGGATAGAATAAGTGAACTATATTGAAACATGCCTGAGAGGGCAGCAAAGGAGGCCAAGTATTCAGAGGAGACTAGAATCGAGATGGCAGTACTTCCATTATCTATTAATTTTCTAGGAACCACTCATTTTATTAATTTTAATGTAAAACTTAATAATGATAGAAAAATTGGAAACTACAGAAAAGTAGAAATGAAGTAAAAATGTCCTCATCATCAAAGACAACTATACAACATGAAATGCACAAGGATCAAAAAGTAAAAGATGGGCCCAATCACAGTGGTGCATAGATAACACTATTGCTTGGGAGACTGGAAGCCACATGGGAGGACTGAATTCAGTTCCTGGGCCACACATCAGGAACAACTGTGCTTGTAATCCTAACTAATCGGGAGGTTAGGGCAAGAGGAGGGTGACATAGTGAGATTCTGTCAAAAATACGTATCCTATGTTTTTCCCTCTCTCATAAAGGGTAAATAAATAAAAACGTGGTCTTAACTTCCAGGAAGTCTTAGTTAAAGGAAACAGACAGAAGTACATAGGGAGAAAGACCTAAGGTGATTACATTTTCAATAACAAGGTTAGCTAGGTACCTGAGTACTAAACACTACTAAAAATATAAAAATATTAAAAACTTCTCTTTGAAGGAATTAATTAACAAAAAGTAAGAAATCCTCAGGCCAGGGACTGAGTAGACACAGAAACTCAGGTAACTGAAATGATAGGGTATAAGAACAGAGGGGAGGGCGGCTTTGCCACACCAGGTGAACCTGAGCTTTAATATTCTGGGCCACAATGACCAGGTGGTAAAGGAGGTAAGGCTCTGGCCAACCCAAGTGTGTGTGTGTGGGGGTTTTAGTAGAAGAGTCAAAAGATGGTCTCCCTGGTGCAGAAGAGTAAATTGAAAATAGCACACAGCGGCACTTGTGCACAGAGGAAGTCCTCCCTGAAGACTGAAGGAACTCTTCGGCCTCTGCTGGGATCAGAGGGAGGGAAAAACTGCTGCTGAGAATTGGACCTGTAAGCCAGTCCCTCAAGGGAATCTACCCAGAATTCACAAAACCATAAGCTAAGAATTTAATGTAAAGTGATTTCAATAGAAACAAATGTCAATTCTCTCTGGAAGAACCTGCCTTTGTTACGGACTTCAGAGAATTCCCAGAAATAAAATTCTAAGGAAGATGAGCACCTCACCGTAAAAATAACTAAGCACAAAAGAAAACTACAGAGCGTAAGCAAAATTTACCAAAAAAGACAGACGGCAGAAATAGATTGCTAAGGATTTTAGATAACCAAATTATAAACACTGAAGCACAAAATAACTGTTTAATATATCTAAAGAAATAAGAGATTGTTTCAAAATACACGAAATTACAAAGACTACCAAGCAGATTTTGAAGGAAAAAAAATAGAATTTTAGTAAATGAAAACTAGGTTGTCCCATGGCTTGGTAGTTAAAGGTGTCAGATCCCACGGAGCTGACTGAGCAGTTTGAATCCCAACCCTGGAGGTCTGGAAAACACACAGGCACACGTGCATGCGTGCCCAAATTCTGATGGGATGGAGAAATGGAAAACCAATTATAGTGTGACTATGCCCCACTGGGGATGCTTATGCCTTCTCCCTCTGGTGAGTGCACATGTCCTCTGGCAAAGAAATAAAAACTGTACTAACAAAGTAAAATCCTTCTGAAAAGGAAGAGGTTTAACTACAGATTAGACTCAGCTGCAGAAGGAACAGTGCGCTGAAAGCCAGATCTGATGAAGGTATCCAGAATGCAGCAGAGACAAATTAAGTGAGTCTTTGAAAAGTTTGTAGAAAATGAGTATTATGGAAAAGCCATTTGTGGATTGCAATTTTTTTTTTTTTTGCACAAAAATAAATTGGTATTTTCAATGCCAGAAGGCACATATGCACATGAGAGAGAAACAGAGGTGGTATCGCTCATAGGGCTTAGTTACACTCTGTTCCTCCATTTCTCCATCTTGGTGGAATCCTACATATGTGTACACACACCAAGCATGTTTTTCAAGCCTCTGGGTCTGGGATTTTGATCACAGTCAATCAGGCGGAATTAGGGTCCCTCTGCACAATGCTTAACCTCTGCACCACAAGGCCAGCCCCAAACGCATACTTAGTTTGTCCACGAACTTTTTGAAGTCTCTTGTCGACAGAAAAAAATGCAATGGTGGTTTAGAAATATGGGAGATGGGTGAGAAAGTCTAACATATTTCTAACCAAAGTCTCAGAAGGCAAAGAGAATATAACAAAAGACAATATTTGAAGTGACCGTGAGAATTTTTCATAACTGATAAAAGATATTAACCCAAGGATTTTAAAGATCCAAAATAGATTTACTCTGAGATACATTCTTTTATTTATTTATTTGTTTGTTTATTTATTTCTTTTTATCACATTCTAACATCTTAAAAATGGTCAGAAAGGAGCCAGCAAATTGTGGAGTGGTTAAGTCGCTAAAGTCTCACCTGGCTAAATGCAATTTGAATCCTAGACGGGATAGCTTGAAAATCATGCTGGTGTGTGTACATGCATGCCCAAGATCCCAGGAGGAAAAGTGAGAAGAAAGGATTGTGGTGTGGACACCCCTCTTAGAGAGTGATTTTTTACTGTCCTCCTGGAAAGTCTCTGTATCTTTCTCTCCAGCAAGCACATGTGCCCTATGGCAAAAACCTCTAAAAAAAGAGGCCAGAGGGGGGAAAAATACAGATTAAAGGATCAAACTATTTGACTTCACGAAAATAATAGAAATCAGAAGTAAGTGGAGGGGCTGGTAGATGGCCTGGTGGTCGAGGGTGTTGGACTCCCACATGGCCAACTGCGGTTTGAATACCTGACCTGGTGACTTGCTTTCTCACTTTCCCTCTCTTTCTCTCTCTTTCTCACTCTCACTCTGTTCCTCTCTCTCATACACTATCCCTCTCTGGTCAAATTAAAATAAATAAATTTTTGGGAACCAGCAGTTAGTGTAATGGCTATGTTGCTGGACTCCCACGTAGTCGGCCGCAATTCGCGTCCCGGACCCGGTGGCTTAAAACTCACGCCGGGCGCGTGTGCGTGCGTGCCCAAGATCCCGAGAGGAGAATGGAGGAGAAGGGATTGCGGTGTGACCATCCCCCCTGGGGAGTGATTTCTTGCTTTCTGTCTCTATGTTTCTCTCTGTCTGTCTGGCGAGCGCACGCTCCCTATAGTGAAAACCTCTCCAAAAAAACAATTTTTTAAAAAAAGTCAGTGGAAAGATATCTTTAATAATACCTTTCATGTACTGAGAGAAAACAATTGTCTTTCTGGAACTCTAAACCCAGAGAAAATATCTTTCATGACTGAGGATGAAATAAAGATATTCTAGGGCTAGCCGGTGGCATGGTGGTTAAAGTGGCTGGATCCCACGTGGCTGACTGCATTGTTTGAGTCAGACCAGCAGCCTGAAAAACATACCACATACATGCCTAAATTCCCAAGAGGAGAATGGAGAAGGGGTTGTGATAAAGCCATTCCCCTCAGAGGGCATTTCTCCTTTTCTCTGTCTCCCTATGGTGAGTGCATGTGCCCTACTGCAAATTAAAAACGAAAAAATAAAACAACAGAAGAAAGAAACAAAAAGCATATAATAAGAGGGGAACAGAATATAAACATATCATGTATTTATTATAATAAATATAAATGGACTAAATGACCAATTAAAAAGACAAAGATTGCATCTTGAATGAAAAATAAAACAATAATAAAACCAAAATGTAACTAAATGTTATTTACGAGGTATTTCTAAAACATAAGAATATAAGAAAGGAAAAGGATAGAAAAAAATAAGCCAAGGGAATTCTAAAAGAAGATAAAAATTTTACATGTTATAGGGAAAGCATTCTAGCATGCTGTTGGAAGATTTGGGGACAACTCTTAGCATTGTTTAGGTAAGTAGACTTGTGATTTTGGACAAGCTGCTTCCACAAATGGGACTGTACTTCTTTACTTATGATTGGACTACATGACTGCTAATAGTTTGTGAGTATAAATGGATAAGAATAAGACTTTGAGGGAAATGGCTACAGTAGTTCTTAACTAGTAGGACCAAAAGGGCATACCAGAATCAAACCAGGGTTATTCTTGGGAATGCAGATTACCGAGAATCCCTAGACAGGGAAGAATTAAGAACTGGGAATGCTAATTCTCAATGTACTATGTCCCAAATAAGACCATGGAAAGTAGGAACTGTGGCAATGCCCCTGCTGAGGGATCTCAGTGCCTGACAGCTTTGTGACATAAGAATCCACTGGCAAGAAAAGTTCCCAAGCTTTTAAACTTTCTTAGAGTTTCCAACAACCCCAGGCAAGATTATGGATATCATGGTACTATGTAGTAGCACCCTTAGTCTCCCTGATGCTCCTGGGAGAAATCCTAAACAAGCTGAAAGAGATGCATTTGTTTCATTCCACAGTCCTTGCTCTGCAGCCTCTGGGGAAGGAGAAGCAGGTGGCTCTGGGCACCTCTCCAAACTCACCCACATCCTGCTCATGTCACTCAATTCATTTTTGTATCTCAGAGAGTCCTTCAGAACCTGGAAAGAGAGAGAAGAGAACAGCCTGTGAGGGAACAGAAGGGGAAGCTAGGCCCAGGGTGGGAAAAGTGGCTGACTGGAGAGAGGCACACCCACTTCTAATTAGTAACCAATAGGCCAGGAGCAGAGGGCAGAGTGAGAGTGTCCATGTTGTGGCCCAGGCAATCCCATGTTCCCCAATGGGTCCTTGGCTCCCTAGCCACCCCCACAGTCCCAGGAACTCACATTCGGGTGTCCGTCTCGGAGGAGTTTATGAAACACATGGCAGAATTTCCAGCAGAGCACTGCGTTGCTAGAGAGAGGCAGTCGGTTGACCACAGACCAAAAGGTCTGAGCCCCTTTCTCATGGTGGGTGCCCAGGATACATGGTAAAGGGAAGGTCATGGAAAACAAAGGCACAGGCCTGTCTTGGGCCACCAATTACTGGGATCTAGACTGCAACAGGTCACTGCGGAGGGTAGAGAGTTGTGAAGAGGATAGTGGCCCACCTCAGAAGGGCACCACTCCTAGCTAAGACACCATGGATCTGTACAATTATTCTTGCAATTTTTTGACAGCTGGCAATAAAATGTCTTATTCTAACAAAAGACTTTTAATTAGATAATTTCTCCAAAGGTGGACATGTCTGGGGAAGGTGGTATTTGTTTCTAATCTGCTCAGGTGCCCTCTGGGTCAGCAACAGTTCTGGTCTGCCCTTCCCCTGGGTATGCTGATTTGGTGATGAGGTACATGGGGGGTAACAACTGCACAACACATATGGCTTCTGAGAGTTCTTTCTTATCTATTATTAAATGTGAGGGCATGCTTCAACTTTTTAATCAGGGTCTATCTCCTCTAGGAGGATGCTACACCCTGACCTATGGACTCTCTGGGAGCCTCTTCCAGGACTTTCCCTCCTCTGCATTCAGCTAGTCTTGACTCTTGTCTTGAGTCCTGCTCTTATTTTGAAAGCAGCAGTATTTATGAAAAATGCCCCTTCTGCAGAAGTAAAATAACAGGTACTGTACTCGTCCATAAACCCTTGTGGCTTTGTTCAGAGGTGCCCATATCTCCGAACACCTAGAACTCTCTTACATAGAATCCTGGGGCTGTTGCTTCTCAGACTCAATTCCAAGCACACCCACTGCCCAGATTGCTGGCCATAGTTTGCATGTAAAAAATGTCCATCTGGCCTAGTGTGATTTCTAAGTTTAACATTCCAGATGTTAGTCATTAGTGAGTCCTTTCGGGAGCATGTTGAGGATTTCCACATGTCTTTCTAACTGCTTAAACAGGCCTCTCAGACCCGGTAACCGAGTTTTTACCTAGAACATTCTGCTTCTTTACCAAGGCCCAGGTAAGAAGCCAGTGCCATTTAGGGCAGACAGACTCACCTCGGGGCAGAAACAAAATGACTCATATAGAACACATGTTGTCCTGCTTCTGAGTTGGACGATACCAATTTCTCTCCAGAAGAAATTTTCATTTTAGGAGTGGGCTTGACATAGACTTAGGTCTAGAAGCTAAAAGCAGCTTTTGGCGTTGGAACAATTTTTGATAACTTACAGTTCCACCTACAGCAAAATGCTCTCAGACTAGAAAGAAGCAATGAGGAGAGGTGGGCACCCTGGCAATGTGCTGACTCCTCTCAAGGGCAGTCTGCCTAAACAAAGCCAGACCAAGTGCAGAGCCAGCCAGGCACCCCGACTGGGAAAGAAGCAAGGAGAGACTTTTCTGCTGTTTCAATTCACTGACCGATTTTCCCAGAGGGTATGTGTGTGCTCACTGGGGGGTAGGGGGACGTCCCCTCCAATGGGGTACAGTCACATCACAATTCCTTCTCCTCCATTGCTCCATCCTGTCAGAATTTAGGGCACAAACACACATGTGTGTGTTTTTCAGGGCACTGAAATGGGATTCAAATCATGTGGCTGGCTATGTAGGATCTACCTTCCTTAATGACTAGGCCACAGAGCTGACATCATTTTTTAAATTTTATAATCTTTATAACATCCCCAATTATGTGTTAGGCATCATTAAAGGTGTCTGGGAGAAGAAAGAAGAAATCAAGAAAGACGATATTTTCACAGCAGAGCAGTGATAGTGTAATACTCTGCAATGCTGGAAGACATATGGAAGACCCGGGTTTGGTTCCCAGGTGGACCTGGACGTGCTGGGTATGCACACATGTGCCTGTGATCCTGGCTGTCTCGGAGAGGCTTGGGGGAGAATCATATTGTAAGACCCCGTTGCTTGTCTTTCTCTTTCTATAAAGAAACTTAGAAAAGAAAAAAGGAAAATAACATTTGGCCCCTGGGCCTTCCAGGAGCGAATCCCATGGTGCACAGACCAACCTGTTCACCAGCCTGATATCCTAATGCTTATTCAGCTGCCATCTATCAACAGGACAGTTGATAGAAGAACCTATAAAGAATAAGTGTTAGGCCAGCAGGTGGCATGGTGATTGAGGCACTGGACTCCTACATGGCCAGAATGTGGTTCGAGTGTTGCTCTGGCAGCATATACACTGAAATTGCAATGATACAGGGAAGATTAGCATGGTCCCAGCGCAAGGATGACAAAATGCAGTTCAAGTCTCAGACCAGGCGGTTACTTTCTCTCTCTCTCTTTGTTCCTCTTCGGTGAGTACATGTGCCCTATAGCAAATTAGAAAATAATAATGAAAAATAAAATTAAATAAATAATTCCTATAAATAAATAAATGAATGTTTACTGGTTTCCTTCACTAGGAATTTAAAACTTCTTCCAGTGTCCCTTCCCTCATCCAGGTAACCTCCCTTGTAGCATGGGTCATGCTCTAGGCTGCTGCAGGCTGGCCTCTGTGTGCCAGCAGGTGGTGTGATGATGGTTAAGGGCACTGGACTCCCACATGGCTGGCTGTAGTTCAAATCCTGAACTGGCAGCTTGCTTCCTCACTCCTCCTCCTACCCTCTCTGGTCAAATTAAAATAAATAAATTAAATAAATAAAGTTAAATAAAATAATTCTTAAAAAAAAAAAAAAAGCACACAGGTCTATGACAATTGTCTTTCTCTTTTACCTCCTATTACACATTGGACCAATCACAAATCCTTAGCAGGTAGGGGTCAGAACTAATTCTGAGAAAATCAACCAGGGCATTTAAAGGCTTTTTTTGTTTGCTTCTCAGAGAGAGCATATCCCCATGAATTAGTGGACAAAGAGAGAGAGAGCACCCCTGACTGCGTCTCAGCACGCCACGACCCCCTTTTCCCAGACCACCTGCTCCTCAGGATCCTGGGTAGCCATGCACATGCCCATGTATTTCCAGGTCAACCCAGGAATCTCAACTCAGTTGATCATGAGACTTCTAGCCTTGAGAGGCACCTCATTACCACCGCACCACAGCAGCCAGGCCTTCTTGGTGTGTTTCTCATCATGGCAAAGCTACCAAATGTGATGCAACACCACCAGGGACTGTGCCTTCCTGGGGATAAAGATCGAGGCCTAGATAGGCTCACTGTTGTGGTGGGCTTCTGGTTATCTGGGAAAGGATCCACAGGCCTCACCACAGAGTGACGCCCTCATTCCAGCCAAAGCACTTTGTCTTGAGCCCCTGGAGATCACTCAAAGGAAAGTCACTTCCAAATGACTCTGAAGTTCTGGAAAGCTTACGTCCTACAGGAGAGCAGCAGGATCTTTGGCACAGGGCCTGATGGCCTCACTGGTCCCTTACACTCTGACCGTGGTCTCTGAAACCAGAGATCTCTGAGATACTGTTATTTAAACCTGCAGTGACCTGGCTCATGTGGAGCTGAGCAAAGGAGGCCTCCCCCTGACCTCGGTTTCCACAATTTGACCCCCTCAGGGTTGGTCTTCCAAGCAAGATCCAAAAGGATATTTCTGGCGTGTTTTTCCTTTACAGCCACTTCCTGCGTATTAATGGCCTTATTGATGCTGACAGTCTGCAAAACAAGAGGGAGGGGAAGGGGAAGGAGGATGAGATGAATAAGCCTCTGAAAGTGCTGAGACCCTCCCAGACGCCCCGCCCCTTTCTCTTCCTCCAATGATCTTCTGCTCCACTGACCCCCCCACCTGCAACAGAGGCTAGCTCCTCAGTGGGAGCCCAGCTGGGGGCAGAGGTGGGCAGCGCTCCCAGGCCAGCTGGTCCCTGCTGTCCTAAGCCTTTGCTGTCTAGTATTGGCTGTGCCCAGCTGCTATGCCCGCCTGCCACTCATTGGCTTGGCATAACAACATGGTAATTACAGCTCTCACAAAGAGATGCTTTTCATCCCCTGGGGAAACATTATTTCTCCGGGAGCAGAAGGAAGAGGCACAGAGATCAGGGCAGGATGATGGCCCAAGACCATCAAGCTGCCCTCTCTCACCTCTGAAACACAGAGCTTTCCCTGGTTGGCCTGGGCTGTCAGTGGCCTCTTTATTTTAGTTAGTCTCTCGTTTTCCCACTTCTGGGCATTTTCCAACTCCTAAGCAAATTCCCTTTTATTTCCTTAATTACATCAAAGGGCATTAAAAATATCCACTCCTTTCCAATCTTCTAAATTTTATTTTATTATTATTATTTTATTTATTTTTCTTTTTTGGGAAGGTTTTTGCTATAGGGTGTGTGCGCTCACCAGAAAGACAGAGAGACAGAATGTGAGAAATCACCCCCAAGGGGTGATGGCCACACTGCAATCCCTTCTCCTCCATTCTCCTCTCCGGATCTTGGGCACACATGCATACACGCACAGTGTGAGTTTAAGCCACCAGGTCCAGGACTCGAACCACGGTCGACTACGTGGGAGTCCAGTAACATAGCCATTACACTAACTGCTGGTCCCTTATTATTTTTTAAGACAAGGTCTCACTGTCACAATCCTCTTGCCTCAACCTCCCAGCTGGGATTACAGGCGATCACCATCACGCCCTGCTCTTTTTGATATGGGGTCTCACTGCATGGCCCAGGCTGGCCTCGTGCTTGTGATCCTCCTTCTTCGGCCTCTTGAGAGTCACTGGGACTACATGTGTGTAACACTGCACTGGCTTGTAGGGTGGACTGGAGTCGAACATGGGCCTACAGTATATGCTACTGTGGCAGAGCAGACTACTTTCTTAAGTATAGGCTTTCCCTTTCTATTTTCCCTGCTTCCCATCCACATATGTCACTGCACCCCAAACCCATGGTAGCCACCGTTATGCATCCCACACACAAAGACCTACACACCAAAGGTGTTCATTTTGCCACTGTTCTATAAAAATGAGATTGTCCTGCACAGACTTTTCTATATCTTGTTCTCATCACTTGAAGATAGCTCATGGTACATTCTCCAAGTAGGTTATAAAACTCTAGTTCATTCTTTAAAAAGATCACATAGTATTCCACAGTGTGGATGAATATGATTTATACACACTTTCCTGTACTGGTAGACTATTGATTTATTTCCAGATATTTTTAGCCATTGTAAACTATTTTAGTAAATAAATACATATATGTGTGTGTGTGTATATATATACACACACACACATATATATATGTATGTATGTATATATATCCTTATTAACTGACACCTTCATTTCTAAGGAATAAATTCCTGGGACTAAGATTACTGGATCAAAAAAAGTTTTTTAAACTTTTTTTAACCTTTCAATATGGAAAAATCCAAACATATATAAATATGAAGATGTCTTAGAAGGCCTCATTTAGTCCCTAGCTTGTGGCCACATTTCCTAGAACTGAAGAATAAGCAAATACTTTCTATGAAGAGTTAGTCAGTAAATATTTTCAATTTTGCAGGCTGAAGTCTATCACAACTATTCAACTCTGCCATTGAATGCTAAGCGAATCCATGAAAGAATGACTACGATCACATATCAATAAAATTTCACTTTCAAAACCAGGTGGTTGTCTGGTTCTGCACCAAAATAAACTCATACTTTAATTCAGTTTCCACAAATTTTCCAAAGCCTTTTCATGTAAGAGGTGCTCCAAGAAAAAGGTAAAGCACTCAATGAAGCTATACTTGTCTCCTATGGATAGCCAGAGATTACAGTTTCTTCTTTTCCTTTCCTTTCCTTTCCTTTCCTTTCCTTTCCTTTCCTTTTCTTCTTTCCTTTCCTTTTCTTTACTTTCCCTTCCCTTCCCTTCCCTTTTCTTTTTCTTTCTTCCTTCCTTCCTTCCTTCCTTCCTTCCTTCCTTCCTTCCTTCCTTCCTTCCTTTCTTTGTTAGGTTTTTGCCATAGGGCTCATGAACTCACCAGAGAAAGACAGAAAGAGGGAAGAGGCCAGCAGGTAGCATAGTGGCTAAGGTGCTGGAATCCCAAGTGGTTGACCACAATTTGCATTCCAGACCTGGTGACTTGGAACTCTCTCCAGGTGTATGTGCGTGTGTACCCAAAATCCCAAGAGGAGAATGAACGGAGAAGGAACAGTGGCATGGCCATCCCCCCAGGGGGTGATTTCTTGCTTTCTGTCTCGCTAGTTCACTTTCTGGCGAGCATACACATCCTAAAGCAAAATCTTGAAAGAGAGAGAGAGAGTGAAAAACCACTCCTTGGGGAGGATGGCCATGCTGCAATCTTTTCTCTTTCATTCTCCTCCTGGCATACAAGCACATGTGCCTGGTAAGATTTTCAAGCTGCCAGGTCTAGTACTTGAACCATGGTTAGCTATGTTGGAATTCAGAGCCTTAAACACCACACCACCTGCTGGTCTCTCTTTTTCTTTTTTTTAGGTTCAGGATGAGGAATGTGAGAGCATGCACATGACAGGAGAGAGTGTGAAAACAAGGGAGAGAGAAGCACCCTTGAAAGTGTCTCATCATGCCTCGATCCCCTCTCCCGAGTCCTCCAGGCCAGTCAGGATCATGGCCATCCACACACAAACACGAGGGAGGCTTTCAGGCTGACCTGGGGATCCAAACCCATGGTCAGCCATATGGCTTCCAGAGCAGCAGTTCAGAATGGCAACTGCACTACCAAGGCTGTTCCTACAGCTTCCTCTTTATGTGTCCTTCCCTGGAATTGTTCCTCAGCCTCTGCCTTCAGAAGGGTCCCAGGCCAGTCTCTTTCATGCAGATGAACTCAGGAGAATTACAGACCTTTAAACCAAGTTATTTTCTCTGGCTCAGGACAATGACGGGATTCTGGATGCAGACAGACCTCTGGGCAAAGTCACCATATTTATTGTGCCCCTAAAGGTTGCCAGCAGTCTACAGGAATTTATAGAGGCCATAAAAATGTACAGGGACAAGGAGAGACCCACATGCAGTCAGGTGCTGAACTGGAAGTGGAAAGGTTCTCAGGGCCTCGGGAGAGCTGGTCAGAAGTACAGGCTGTGAGGGAGAAGAAAAAAAAACACGGAGCGACAAATGCTAAACACCAACACTACTTCAGGGCCTCGAGGAGGACTGTGATGGGTGGGATTCAGTTTCACCCTACAAATATGTGTGTATGTTGCCTGACTAATTATCCAAGCTTGTGGTCATGATAAGCATTGCCTGCAAAAACGAAACAAAACAAAACCTTAAAAATTCCCTTCAGTTTATCACATACGCTGTAACTACAGAGCCTTTGCGCGTGTAAGTATAACTGAAAACGGGAGAAGTTTGTGTTACATATGTTAAAAGGAAGGAGAAATCCCTGTAAACTGAGACACTGCTCAGGGAAGACTTCTTAGAGGAAGAAGGATGGGAACTGCAACAGTCCCTGCTTCAGCCCTCTGAAATGCACTTGTCTGTCTTGCTTATACTGGAGTAGTAGAGATGGAGCATGGAGGTAAGGAGTGCAGGGATATAGCTATTGGGTTGTCAGAAAAGTCAAGACACATTTTTGCACAGAAAAATATGCCATGACTTCCCCAGCAACCTGAATTTAACTGCACGGAACTATAGGAATAAAATCCTCAACCTGTCTCTCTGTTGCTCTTGAGAGAACGCATGTGCCTTATGGCAAAACCTAAAAAAGAAAGCCCTCAACCAAATGAGGAAAGTGGAAATGGAAAGAACAGGAAGTGAGGTGGGCTGTGAAAGGAACTTTGGGAGGATTGGCAAACAGGTACTTCCTGTATCAAAGATGGTAAAGAGCCTCTGGCTGAGTGGACACCGAGTGCAATGAAGAAAACGGAGCCCACCAGAGTTTTGGGTATTGCCATCCTTGCGTGTCAGCCTCTCAGAGTCTGGGATTCCAGGTACATCCTACCATACCTACCTGATGCTGGACCAGGAGTCAGACCTGGACCTCTCATGTGGCCCCAGCCTATGGAGCACAGTATCTTAGCAGCACATACCACCACTGCTGGCAGAAATTGCGGGGTGTTCTTTTATTTATTTATTTTTTAAGAGATTTTTGCTAAAGGACGCTTGTGCTCACTGGAGAGACAGAGAGACAGAAAGAGAGAAATCACCCCCCCCAAAGGGGGATGGCCACATCCCCCTGCTCCTCCATTCTCCTCTCAGGATCTTGCACACATGCCCAACATGAGTTTCAAGCCACCGGGTCCCAAACTCAAACCGCAGTCAATTGCCTGGGAGTCCAGTGACGTAACCATTATGTCATCTGCTCATCCCTTGTTCTGTTTTTTTTTTTTTTTTTTTTTTTTTAATGTGCCAGAAGACACATTAACTCACTGAAGAAACAAACAGAGGGAAGGAAAGCAAGAAAGCACCCCCATTGGAAATGGCCATGTTGCAATCCCTTCTCCTCCATCTCTCCCTCCTGTAGAGATTTGGGGCATGCACACACATATACCCAGCATGTTTTTCAAGCTGCTGGGCCCAGGACTTGAACTGCACACTTGGCCATGTGGGTTTTGGCTGCCTTAACCATGAGGCCAAGAAGCCAGCCCAAAGAATAGCCATATTTTGAAGAGTGGTCTAATGAAAGGAGAAATCATTTTAGAGGATCAAACCTAGACCAATGGGTAGAATTACAGGAAGGTAGTTTTTGCATAAACTTAAAGCTGTCTCATGAAAGAGAATTCCTCATGAGTAGAAGCATAACGTCAGAGGTGAGGCACCCTTTACTTTGGATGACTGGAAAAGACTGATAGGCTCAGGCTGGATTAGGTGACTTCTAGGTCCCTTCTCATTCTTAGATTCCAGGTAAGGAATCATGCATGATCTGATGGGTACTGGGGATCCATGGAAGGCTCTTGAGCAGGAGAGGGACCTGATACAAACACCCCTCCATCCTCATGAATGAGGAGCGCCCTGACTCTTCCCACAGGAACGTGTGGAGCACCCTAGGAGTCACTGCCTCACAGTGAGTTCAATACCACAGACACTGCCTAGCACTGGTTTCTTCCTAAACCAACAGCCACAAGACATCTGGAAGCTCTGCCTGTCCTTGCCAGGGCCGCCCAAGACCCTCTCTTACAGCTTTGGCAGATCATAAGAGCTCTCATTTGCTGCCCGAAGTTCTCCAAGCAACACTTCTCCACAGCAGACATTCCCAAGAGTAAGAGTCCAACCTGTGGCTGGGGGCCCCCTGCCCAGGTTCTGTGACAAGGCTTCTCAGGGCTCAGCAGTGCAGGCAGGGCTGAGCCTCAGCATTCTGGGCTCTTTAAGACAAGCCATGGGTGCCCCAGGGCCCTTGGAACCAGGGGCTTCCCAGGGCAGAAGATCCCCACTAGGACCAGTTTCCTTTTGCTTACCTAAGGCCATGAGCCTGGGAGGCCCCTTTTACCCCATCCTACACCACACATGCCTCCCCTTCTTTCTTCATTCCAAATCCTACCCCGCCTCCAGAACACAGATCACACTGTACCTTTCCTTAGATGTAGACATACAAGCTACTCAGCCAACAATTTGTTTCTCTTTCTTCCTTTTTTTTTTTAATTCTTCTTTTATTACTGTGTCCGCCAGTGTCCGCCAGTTAGTATATTGCCTTCTTCCCTGAAGGCCCGCCATGGCTAAGACACGGCACAGAGGCAAGTCTTAATAAATCATTAGGGTTGGCTGTTTCCCAAGACTCCCCCTCGGAAGAGTACTAGGTACACAATTCAAGGTCTCCTGAGAAAATCTAGTCCCATTTCCTCTCTGCCGCAGATCCTCTCTGGGAAATCCCTCGGAGATGACCTGGTCCTGGCCACCTACAGGCCCACGTCTAGGGACCCCTTACAGGACAAAGGGTGGGAATTGGGGGCTTGGAGTCTCACCTCTGGAGGGGAGTCTAGGTTAGAGAACATCCTCTGAGAACAGGCTGTTCTCCAGATTTCCCTGGAGTCACACAGGCCCTAAGACCGAGCAGTGTCTCCCCTGAAAGAGCAGCATTGTACACCACTTCCTGACCCAGCTGGCCCTGGTGTCCTGAGCTGTTTTTTTTTTTTTTTTTTTTTTAATGTGCCAGAAGACACATTAACTCACTGAAGAAACAAACAGAGGGAAGGAAAGCAAGAAAGCACCCCCATTGGAAATGGCCATGTTGCAATCCCTTCTCCTCCATCTCTCCCTCCTGTAGAGATTTGGGGCATGCACACACATATACCCAGCATGTTTTTCAAGCTGCTGGGCCCAGGACTTGAACTGCACACTTGGCCATGTGGGTTTTGGCTGCCTTAACCATGAGGCCAAGAAGCCAGCCCAAAGAATAGCCATATTTTGAAGAGTGGTCTAATGAAAGGAGAAATCATTTTAGAGGATCAAACCTAGACCAATGGGTAGAATTACAGGAAGGTAGTTTTTGCATAAACTTAAAGCTGTCTCATGAAAGAGAATTCCTCATGAGTAGAAGCATAACGTCAGAGGTGAGGCACCCTTTACTTTGGATGACTGGAAAAGACTGATAGGCTCAGGCTGGATTAGGTGACTTCTAGGTCCCTTCTCATTCTTAGATTCCAGGTAAGGAATCATGCATGATCTGATGGGTACTGGGGATCCATGGAAGGCTCTTGAGCAGGAGAGGGACCTGATACAAACACCCCTCCATCCTCATGAATGAGGAGCGCCCTGACTCTTCCCACAGGAACGTGTGGAGCACCCTAGGAGTCACTGCCTCACAGTGAGTTCAATACCACAGACACTGCCTAGCACTGGTTTCTTCCTAAACCAACAGCCACAAGACATCTGGAAGCTCTGCCTGTCCTTGCCAGGGCCGCCCAAGACCCTCTCTTACAGCTTTGGCAGATCATAAGAGCTCTCATTTGCTGCCCGAAGTTCTCCAAGCAACACTTCTCCACAGCAGACATTCCCAAGAGTAAGAGTCCAACCTGTGGCTGGGGGCCCCCTGCCCAGGTTCTGTGACAAGGCTTCTCAGGGCTCAGCAGTGCAGGCAGGGCTGAGCCTCAGCATTCTGGGCTCTTTAAGACAAGCCATGGGTGCCCCAGGGCCCTTGGAACCAGGGGCTTCCCAGGGCAGAAGATCCCCACTAGGACCAGTTTCCTTTTGCTTACCTAAGGCCATGAGCCTGGGAGGCCCCTTTTACCCCATCCTACACCACACATGCCTCCCCTTCTTTCTTCATTCCAAATCCTACCCCGCCTCCAGAACACAGATCACACTGTACCTTTCCTTAGATGTAGACATACAAGCTACTCAGCCAACAATTTGTTTCTCTTTCTTCCTTTTTTTTTTTAATTCTTCTTTTATTACAGTGTCCGCCAGTGTCCGCCAGTTAGTATATTGCCTTCTTCCCTGAAGGCCCGCCATGGCTAAGACACGGCACAGAGGCAAGTCTTAATAAATCATTAGGGTTGGCTGTTTCCCAAGACTCCCCCTCGGAAGAGTACTAGGTACACAATTCAAGGTCTCCTGAGAAAATCTAGTCCCATTTCCTCTCTGCCGCAGATCCTCTCTGGGAAATCCCTCGGAGATGACCTGGTCCTGGCCACCTACAGGCCCACGTCTAGGGACCCCTTACAGGACAAAGGGTGGGAATTGGGGGCTTGGAGTCTCACCTCTGGAGGGGAGTCTAGGTTAGAGAACATCCTCTGAGAACAGGCTGTTCTCCAGATTTCCCTGGAGTCACACAGGCCCTAAGACCGAGCAGTGTCTCCCCTGAAAGAGCAGCATTGTACACCACTTCCTGACCCAGCTGGCCCTGGTGTCCTGAGCTGGTTCCGGAGAGCCAATTATCAGCAGGCCCCGCAGGAAGGGCGGCTTTCTCCCAGCCTCTCTTCCTCCCCCACCAGCCCTCCCTGTCCTCCACTCCCCAGGACAGCCCAGCTAGGCTGGAGCCAATGGAAAATCTTCAGGCCTGGCTTCTTCAGGGCCAGCTGGTTACTGTCCGGTCACGCACACAGCTCTTGGCAGTGGCCCAGCACTTGGGCTGCCAAGGCCAGGCTGGCTCACAAAGGTTCCGTGGCACACAGGGGATATGCTCCAGGAGGGGGTGGTAGGTCCAGCCCCCCCTAGGGGCCAGAGGGCCCACCGTTTGGGCCAGAGGAGAACCTCAGAACAGGCAGGGCAAAGGGGAAAAGAAAGTAAGATAAAAGGAAGGCAGAGGTGACCATTGCCGGTGGCCTCGGTGATGAATTCCAACCCTGGAGTTTGAGCACTGGGACCCTTACAGGGTCAGCTCACCGAGCAAGGTTTTGGAAGCTTGCAGAGAATAGACCAAGTGGGTGGTCTAGGCCCTCGGCCTTTCATTGCCTGCATTCCTGTGATGGTGTCCAGCATAAAACATACTCATCCCATGTGGAGCTGAAAAAGATCTTCCCCTAGTACCTGATATTCTCTGAGAGGCAGGACAGAGGAGCCTCTGAGACAACAGCTCCACCTGGGGAGTGACATGGCTGATGATGAAGAAGGATGGGATGAGATACCTGGGGGAGTCAGAACCCAAAAGGTTGCTGGTATAGTTGGGGACAGCTTAAATGAACAGTTGGACCTCAAGCCTGAGTGAGGATGACAGGGGGACTTCAGAGCCAAGTTGAGATCTGGTAAGCCTGGGACGAGTGAAGGGACAGGTGAGGCAGAGACCGTCAAACACAGCATTCTGTTGCAGGGATGCCCTTTGTCCTCAGTGACGCTGCTCTGGACTAGGCTGTGACACTGGAATTTGGTATCCAACATCAAGGTCTTCTTAATCTTCTCTTGATCGTTGTCATTGCAGTCACCAGATTACTTGCAGCAGCAGCTATCTCTCTTTAGCCGTTGCCTCCACCTATGAGGCATTGCTCTCACCACTCATAATTTGTTTCTGATTCTGCCTTGGGCCCTGGAGGCAATAATCTGACCCTCAATCTTTCAAGTCAAGCTGCGCAAAGTAGCACACTCAGCAAGAAGTAGGGCCAGAATTGAGGCCCTGGCCCATCTGAAAGCATCTCTCCTCCCCACTTTGTGCCACCTTCAGTCACTCCCAGCAGTCCACCACAAACTTGCCAACATCTCTCACCTGTTGGCTCATCTTCTACCCACGACGCCGGCTCCCTTAGTTTCTTTAGTAACTCATCCCCAGGTCTCTGTTTAGCTAGTGATCTCAGCTTGGCCCATGGCTTTAAACTCTCAACTCCTGCCAGCATGCTCACCTCCCCAGCTGTTCCTCTCCCAGTGTCCTTTATCTCACTGTATCAACCACCAAACACCTAGAAGTTATCTTGGATCACTGCCTTTGTCTGAACATTGCCATCCAATCTATCAATAATGTTATCCATTCTACCTCCAAAATTCCTCTATTTCTTACCATTACCTTTGCCTCAAGCCAAGCTCAAATCACTCTATGTCCCTGGTGGACCAGTGAAATAGCCCCAAATGGACTACTCTCCCCAAAATCACTCAGTAAAGCAGCTAGAAGGCTCATTATAATGCATGCATGAGATTATATGTCCTTGCTTAGAGCCCTCTGCCATTTGTGGAGTGAAGCCTTCGCTCTCAAGGTGGCCTGAGGCCTAGCAGAAGTGTCAAGACCTGCTCTTCTCCTCTTTGTCATGCCCCAGCCACATGGGCTGCCTTTCTGTTCCTTGTCTTAGTTCACTATTGTGTTGCTAACAGAAATGCCCAAGATTGGATGATTTATAAAGAAATAGAGGTTTATTTGACCCATGATTCTAGCAGCTGGAAAATATACAGGGCTGGCATCACGGCTGGCATCAGGCCAGCCTATGCCACAACATGGTTGACAGTAGAGAGGATGGCGGGTGGGTGAGTGCAGAGAGAGCACTTGGACAGTTGTCTCTTTTATAAGAACCCATTCTCGTGCAAACTAACTCCTTTTCATGAGAGCTAGAACTCACTCAATTTGCTCAGCATTAACCCACTCATAATGAGACCAATTCGGCCATGACTCAATCACCATGATCCAATCACTGCCCACTAAGGCCAAATTCCAAAGCATGCAACTTTGGGGAACAAACCATTAACCAAACCATACAATTTCTCAAACATTGCCAAAGCTTTCCCTCTGTCCCTGATATTCCTTTTACTTGGAATGGTCTTTCTCCATTGCTTGCAAGACTAGATTTCCCTCCTTCTTTATCCCGTAAATGAAAGCCTCACCCCATACCTTGCCTGGCAATATCTCTTTATCACAACTCACAACCACCACAGTTATTTCCCACAGAGGCTCTCGTCACAATCTTAAATTCCCTTGTTCATTTGCATATTGTCAGTCTCCTCAGCAGTGCATGGGCTCTCTCAGGGCAGGAACCGTGCCCCCTGCTGTCTCCCCAGTACATACACTCTGCCAGCAACATGGATGAACTGGTCGATAAAGAAGGCCTGCATTGCCCAGCCAAGGAGACACATGCTACTACAACACTATGCTCCGTGTAGAACACATGAAAGCCAGGGTTTGCTTTCTGATGCAATCTAAAGGCCGGGTTGGTGGTGTGCATCTGTAAACCCAGTGACTTGTGAGGCAGAAGCAGGACTGTGAGCCCAAGGCTGACCTAGGCAACATAGGAGACTCTGTCTAAAAACCAGCTGGTTGTTGTGGTGTGTGCCACACAGCTAGGAGACTGAGGCAGGAGGATCACAAAAGGGTAAGACCTTGTCGACTCCCATACAGTCAACTGCAGTTTGAGTCCCAGGCCTGGTGGCTTCAAACTCACACTGGGCACATGTGCATACATGCCCAAAATCTTGAGAGGAGAACAGAGGAGAAGAGATCGAGGTGTGGCTATCTCCCCAGAGGGTGATTTCTCGCTTTCTTTCTCTGTTTCTCTCTCTGGTGAGTGTATGTACTCTATAGCAAAAATCTCTCAAAAAATAAATAAATAAACAAAAATAAAAGACAGCCTGGGGCCAGCTCCATAGTGCAGTGGCTGGATCCCACATGGCCAATCATGAGGTCAGAGTCTTGGACCCAGTGGCTTAAAAAACATGTTGGGTGTATGTACATGCATG